CTATGTGGACTCTCTGACAGAGGTGTCAAGTTGACAAACCTAAATACCCCAAAAAAGTTATATTGAAAGGATGCCAGGCATACAAACCTAAATACCAAGTAATTAGTAAACATTGTTAGCTATGTGGATGCTCTAAACAAATTTTAAATATGAAAAACCCAGAATATTTTCGGAAAAGCAAATTAAGTTAAGATGGTGAAGTAAGGCTTGTTGTATTGGCAAAAATTGAAATATTTATGTTAATGAAAATGTTTAAAATCTGTTTAACCAATCAGAATACTTTATAAAATCACATGATACTTACCAACCATATAACTAGGATGTTCCATGTTGATGGAGTAAAATTTTTCTGTTCCAACTAAAGCTGTATATTCTGTTATACATACACAACTACATGGCTCTGTACTGGGAAATTCCTAAAAACAAATAGTTCAAATTCTGTCTCAGCTTGATGGGAAATTGTTGATGGATTTTTATTTATTGTTTCTAAATAGCTATAACTGGATATCTACTGGACTGGCAAGTCTTAAAATGATTAATTAAGTCAACACTCAGAAGCCATAGCAATGATAACAGATATTGCCAAAATACATGTACTGTATAACCAATTAATTACCAAACCCTTACCAGGAGTGTTTGAGTCTAACTGAAGGAATAATAATATATACATGTTGTTCTATTTGTCTATTATTATGTATGCTAGATAAAGATTTCGGTATGTGAAAAAAAATTGCTAAAATTAGAGGAAGAAATAGTATATCCATAATAGCTTTTATTTTCTAAAAATTTACCTTTCTCAAACAGAACATGGCCAAACTAGGATTAAATTTCATGAGGACTACTTTTTTAGGCATTCCTACGCAGAGATAGGTGGCGTCGTCCCACATGCCAACATCAAACACTGTACAACTCTGAATACCATCAACATGTTTAAACGGAACTGGAATCGTTTCTGGTGTGGTAGCCTGGGAAACTCGGCATTTTATTATATTTTTTTCTATCATTATTAATTTTCTGTCTTGACCTGTTGATAAAATATAAATAAAAGGCATGTTGTCTTCTAAATATTTTATTCACCAGCTGATAGAGCTATTTTTCACCTTGAGTTCTATAGCACAGTAGGTTAGAGCATTAGTTCTTAACATGACGTCATGTGCGAAGTTATATGTCAAGCAATTGGTGGCTGTGGTTTCTGATCTTGATCAACGTGTGATAGTCTTGGTCCTGGCCAAGAACCTGCTGGTAGCAATGATCCTTAACTATGAACTTTGTTGTTGTTACCCTTGTATAATATAGTTGTTTCTTTCTTTGTCATTCCTATCTCTTATCAGAATTAATGTCCAAATTCAAGTAATTTCAAATTACATCCTACTGTGCTGTGCCTTATTAGACAAATGAAATGAAATGGGAGTTTTAAATCCCACATGTAGAATTAGAAATTTGTGTCGAACCTGTGATACAAACAACTAAACCCAGACCAGAGGCTTGAGATATCTGATGTATACTGGATATTCCTGTCAGCTGTATCAGCTCATTTGTTTTATCTTGAATAGTCAACGCAAATAACCCCTCTTCAGCTCCCAGTAATACTAGCTGTAACATAAACAATGTTATATTTAGAGGGCAGGGCAGGGCAGGGCAGGGCAGGGCAGGGCAGGGCAGGGCAGGGCAGGGCAGGGCAGGGCAGGGCAGGGCAGGGCAGGGCAGGGCAGGGCAGGGCAGGGCAGGGCAGGGCAGGGCAGAGCAGGCAGTAATACTAGCTGTAAAATAAATAATCATATAGAATAATGATTTGTGAGCTGAAAAGATAGCTTTTAACTGTCACATCTTGCATACAATGCCTCAGTTTATTGAGAATTTCAAAGCAAGTTGATGCATTTTCCATATCAGCCCCTCTGAACTGCATCAATGAGCCAACCAAGTTGAAAAATACGAAAGTATCATAATGACCAAAGCCAAAAGCCAATACAAGTTAGTAAGCAAAAAAAGGATAAGAAATATTACTATAGTTACCTGTTTTGACAGGACTAAAGAACAGTTGAACTCTTTTCTATCTGAACAGGACATAGACAGGATAGTATTCATCTGTAGTCTCTGTGAAATAAAATAATATATTTGGGTAAAATCAATTTCTAAATGGTATGAGGTATGTTTAACTCCATATCTTTACTTCAGAAGGCAATGTATTGACTAAATCCCTTTAGATTCAATAAAACTATTTTATAATATAACTTACATTTCGACGGAAGACCTCTCCTCTATGAGCTGTTTTTATAGCTGCCTCTAAAGAAGCTACCCAGCGCTGTTTCTCACTAAAATTTGTGGTCATTAGGTAGATCATTCTAAAAATCAGAATTTTATAAACTATCAGGAATATATCTTAGAAATGTAAAAATTTTTGGGCAACGCTATGCAGTGTACAATGGTTAAAATTTGTAAGACAGGGCATGAGCCCACTCTTTTTTAATTTTCAGCTGTTGACTTACGGATCTAAAACATAGTTAGTAGTGTACAAGGCTGTGGTTCACTGTCCCAGAACTACTAAACCCTTAATCCAGACAATGCTTAAGTTAACTTAATTTTCCATGTTTTACACATCAGCCCCATCTGTGATAAGCAGTTTATTGAAACAATGAAATAATAACAAACCTTCCTGGCCAGCAAGTAGTTCTAGGATCCTGATCCAACCTCATAACAAACGGTAAATCTGAGGCTGCAGTTCCTGAAAGTTCTGAGTAGGTCACGGCGCTGTGTACTGTAACATACCCATCCATAGGACTAAGTTCGAACATATCTACTGGGTTGGCATCATTACACTCTTTATATAACATTAATAATGTTCCCTCTAACTGGGCCCAACGTTTCTCCCAACCAGCTTTTCCTGTTCTATAAATAGAAATTATATTCCAGTTTATTCAATACGAATATATCATACTCTCATACTCCAATCTTATTGGTCCAGATTGAAATCTTCAACCAATCCTAGTACTCTAATATCAATAACTAATAATAAACTACCTTGGAACATTCAGCCAGCCTTCCATCTTGATAGAGATATCATCATCATCAGTAGACGATTCAACACCTTCATCAATATTATTAACCTTGTTCATCATGTCTGTAAAATGTTGGACGTATTCTGTTGGTAGACCACACGTTGACGGGACAGACGACACACATTTCGGATGACATGTTAAATTACATTCTGAAATTAACAACAGCAAATATTTCATGAGATTTGAAAGATTCAACTAGAATCATTCTTGAGATGATATAATCTAGAAGAAAGGATCTTCATTTTGTTAGTTGATGTCAGGTTGTTTGCCAATTGCATGAGTTTAACATATTGAATGTCTGGTATGATTAATATTCAGACAACTAGCTGAAATTCAGCTCTACTAGCTAAAAAAAAAACTCTAATTATTTAGTGTACTATACAGAAACTGAAATGGAGCTCTACTAGAAAAAAGCTAAAATTGAGCTCTATTAGCTAATAAAGTAAATAGCTGAAATTGAGCTCTACTAGCTAGTAAAGCAAAAAGGTGAAATCGAGCTCTACTAGCTAGTAAAGCAAATATCTGAAATTGAGATCTACTAGATAGTAAAGCAAAAAGCTGAAATTGAGCTCTACTTGCTAGTAAAGCAAAAAGCCGAAATTGAGATCTACTAGCTAGTGAAGCAAATATCTGAAATTGAGCTCTAATAGCTAGTAAAGCAAATAGCTGAAATTGAGATCTACTAGATAGTAAAGCAAATATCTGAAATTGAGCTCTAATAGCTAGTAAAGCAAATATCTGAAATTGAGATCTACTAGCTAGTAAAGCAAATATCTGAAATTGAGCTCTACTAGCTAGTAAAGCAAAAAGCCGAAATTGAGATCTACTAGCTAGTGAAGCAAAAAAGGTGAAATCGAGCTCTACTAGCTAGTAAAGCAAATATCTGAAATTGAGATCTACTAGATAGTAAAGCAAAAAGCTGAAATTGGGCTCTACTTGCTAGTAAAGCAAAAAGCTGAAATTGAGCTCTACTTGCTAGTAAAGCAAAAAGCCGAAATTGAGATCTACTAGCTAGTAAAGCAAAAAAGGTGAAATCGAGCTCTACTAGCTAGTAAAGCAAATATCTGAAATTGAGATCTACTAGATAGTAAAGCAAACAGCTGAAATTGGGCTCTACTTGCTAGTAAAGCAAAAAGCCGAAATTGAGATCTACTAGCTAGTGAAGCAAATATCTGAAATTGAGCTCTAATAGCTAGTAAAGCAAATAGCTGAAATTGAGATCTACTAGCTAGTAAAGCAAATATCTGAAATTGAGCTCTAATAGCTAGTAAAGCAAATATCTA